CCACCCTCTGCCCTTTTCCCACCCCCCATTGTCCTCATCCATAGGTGCACAGTTTATGTTCAGTCTCTTCCCGTACCCCCCACTTCCCTTTTCCCCGAGAATCGTCAGTTCACTCCTCTTCCATACCTCTGATTCTATTATTTTCAGTTAATATTGTTCATCATATTTTTTAATTCCCTTGGTTTTTAGATTCACTTGTTGATAGTTATGTATTTGTTGTTCATAATTTTTATCTTTATTTTCTTCCTCTTCCTAAAGAACCCCCTTCAGCAATTCATATAATTCTGGTTTGACGGTGATGAACTCCTTTAGCTTTTTTTTATTTTTATTAGTGAAGCTCTTTATCTGGCCTTCGATTCTGAGTGATAGCTTTGCTGGGTAGATTATTTTTGGCTGTAGGTTCTTGCTATTCATCACATTGAATATTTCTTGCCATTACCGTCTGGCCTGCATGGTCTCTGTTGAGAAATCAGCTGAAAATCGTATGTGCTCCTTTATAGATAACTACCTTCTTTGCTCTTGCTGCTTTTAATATTCTCTTTGTCTTTTGCTCTTGGAATTTTAATTATGATGTGTCTTGGTGTGGTCCTCTTTGGATTCCTTTTGTTTGGGGTTTTGTGCACTTCCTGGACTTGTAAGTCTAGTCTAGTTCTTTCACCAGGTGGGGGAAGTTTTCTGTCACTATTTCTTTCAGTATGTTTTCGGTATCTTGCTCTCTCTCATCTCCTGGGACCCCCATAATTCTGATGTTGGTTCGCTTGAAGTTGTCCCAAAGGTTTCTTACATTATCTTCAACTTTCTGGATTCTCTTGTCTTCTTGCTTCTGCAGAGGAGTGTCTTCTGGCTCTTTATGTTCCAAATCTTTGACTTGATTCTTGCGATCTTCCATTCTGATTTTTGGACCCTGTATAATATTTTTTATTTAGACAATGTATTCTTTATTTCTAGTTGATCCCTTTTCATATCCTCATAGGTCTTGTTTATTTTATCGGCCTTTTCTACGAAATTCTTGAAAAACCTTATAACCGTGGTTTTGAACTCTATATCCAGTCACTTTTTGTCCTCCATTACTTTCGTTTGTGATCTGTTTCTTTGCCTCGGCATTTTCACAGCTTCCCTGAGTTGGTAAGGTGGCTTTGTGTTCTAAGGTGTCCTATATGGTTCATTGAGTCAGCCTCCCAGTTACCTGAGGTGGACACTCTTGGTGTACCCCTTTGTGGACTGTGTGTACAGCCTTATTGTAGTTAAGTCTTGATTGTTGTTGGTATCACTGGGAGGAACTGACCTCCAGGCCAACTGACTATGAGGATCAGCTGTGTCTATGCTGGGAGACAGCCTTATTCGACTAGACTTTGAAAATTGCAAAAGCCTCTGTGCTCAGGTTGGATGGGGCAGAGCCTACAGCCTTGGATTCTGTCAGCCCCACCCTATGAGGTTTCTGAGTCTCAGTGTTCCTCAGTATCCTTCGGTACTTGCTGCTTTGGTACTTGCTGCAAGCACTTCTAAGAGAAAGGTGCCCTCAAGTTTTGCCCGCTACCAGACAGTCTAGTCTCTCCCCCAATGAGCCCAGATCTGGGATTCAGTGCAGTTGGAAGTGGGGTTCAGTGCAGCCTGGAGCTTTTGTCTCCTTCCCACTAGGGCAGTCCAGTGGCACAGTCAAGAGTCCATTCTCTGAGCGCAACATGCACGCTTCCGGAACTGTGCCTTTCGCCACTCCCCTGAGTTTCCACCTTACAGCCCCGATTCCCTCTACATGAGCCTGGGTTCCTAGGGTCTTGCCCAGAACTGGGATTCAGTGCAGTCAGAACTGGGGTTCAGCACAGTCCGGAGCTTTTATCTCCTTCCCACTAGGGAACGCCAGATAGGCACTAGCCGCCCCCTCCTCTCCAGCTCAGTCCTCTCCCCACACGCAACGTGTCTCCATACCTTAGGCTTTTACAGCTCCTCTGATTTTCTTTCTGATTTTCTCTTTACTTCTAGTTGTAGAATTTCCAGTCAGTCAGTCAACTCCTGTAGTTCTGGATAATGTCCATTTTAGATTTTAGTTGTATTTTTTGAAATTGTGCGAGGCTTCAGGAAGGCGTTTACCTATGCCGCCATCTTGGTTTCTCTTAGATATCAGCATTTTCATATGTTTCAAACTAATGTATGTAAAATCTTCCCAAAGTTTTAGCATAAAAACAAATATTTCTCTGATACCTAAACCAGTTGGTGTACTTTGGAACTACCTTATCTTTTACCTCAAACATATTATGTGCTCAATAAAAAATAAAAGAATGCTTGAAAGCAGAAAATTGACATGTAGTTCCTATAAATTGCTTGTGACAAGTAATATCCAATGTCAGTTTTAAATGCCTTCATCATACTTTGACATCTGTGCAGATCTTCATTAATCTGTGGGAAAGTTCACTTATTTTAAAAATGAAATACAAATAATCTTCCTTGAATATTGAATTGAAATAGTTAAGAAAGAAGTGTTTCCAAAAAAGTAAGTGACAGGACTACTGTCTTTCACATACTGATAAAATAATAAGAGTAGATTAAAAATATAGTATTATATAGTTTACTTGTAACATTTGTACTTTTACATTAGACCTTTATTAAAATAAGGTAATCATGATTTTTATTGCTCTAAAAGAGAATATTTTAATGCCATTCATGTGCTAGGTAATATAATTTTAGTTTATCAATGCATGCAAAAGCTGTATAGTTTAGAGTGTATTTCCATTTACATAATTTCTTCAAGAAACCTAAAACTGTGGAAGATAGGTAACTAACTCAAATTAATAAATATAGTAAGATTTGGGTCTAAGTCTTTCTGATTGCAAAATATATTTGGCCCTAATAAATTCAGAGCTTTGGAATACTGAGTGTTTTTCTTACTCTGATCTGGTCTCAGAGAATAGTTATTTCAAATCTTTAGTTTGTCTGATGTTCCTAATACTGGATAGGAGGAGGAAATAAAGAGAAATATCTTTTCATTTTAAATTTGGAAGGTGGATAGGTGTATTCATAAAAGCATATGTAAATTATAGACAAACACCAAATTCAAGATAGTATTGTTACTGTACAGCATAATTAACAAATATTGTGTGTGTGTGTGTGTGTGTGTGTGTGTACCTGTGTGTACTTCATGGTATAAATTAATAGGTAAGGGACTATACTATTTCATTTTATTTCCTTGGTGTGAAATCTAAATTTATTTAATAAATAAAATCTGACTCGAAGTTTTTTTCTTAAATGACTGACCTTGGAAGCAAGAAAGAAATGGAAGCAAAATTTATAAATTTGCTAATTGCTTTTTCCTCCACTGTGTATCAGTCTAGTTTGATGTTTAACATAATATACTTTAGATTACTTACTTTTTTCCTCCCCCGTATATAATAGTAATAGTATCTCTCCCTCCACATATATCTTCATCCATCCTTTGTAGTACTTTCTGTGTGTGTTTGATTTATTGAAGTGATGCTGTATCTGGTGCTTGCCTCTTAGTTTCCAATCTTGAGTCTCCTGGACAATATAGGTTGATTATATGCTATTTTATTTCTAAGTTAATACTAATTGTATTAGTAGTGATAAAAGTAGAGATGCTTAAAATTGGCCTTTCTTGTGAAATAAGTGCTTCCTAACTTATGCTCAGTTTTATTTATCATTTTCTTTTTTGTGGATTGAAGCCTACTAGATTTTGACAACTAATGTAACTATTTAAATAGGAGATAGCATTAACTTGTATCACTTGTTTTATATCAAATCTCTGAAGAAAATTTCCTATTATATATTAGTTTTCTATGGCTGCTATAACAAATTACTACAAATTTAATGACTTAAAACCACACAAATTTATTGTTACAACTTTGAAATTGAAAACTTTAAATAGATCTCACTGAGCTAAAATCAAGGTATTGGCAGAGTTGTGTTTTTTTCTGGAGGATAGGGGATAATACACTTTCTTGTTCTTTCCAACTTCTATAGGCTGCCCACATTCTGTGGCTCATGGCCCTCTTCCTCTAGCTTTGAAGCCAACAATAGCAGGTTCAGGTCTTCTCATCTACTTTCTCATCTGCCTTCGTCTTCCACATTTAAGAACCCTTGTGATTACATTGGGTCCATCTAGCTAATCTCTATATTTTGAGATTGGTTGATTAACATCTAATTCTATCTACTATCTTAATTCCCCTTTTGCCATGTTAAGGTAACATGTTCACAATGTAGACTGATTTCCAAATTTAAAATTTATCTGTTCACAAGTTTTCAGGATATGGTCTTCTATGGGTGGGTTATTATTTTGCCTACCACACTTCTGTCAGCAATATTCAGTGTTATTATAACTAAACTGAAGTGTACAGCACAATAATGCCATTTCACTTAATTCAGGACCTTTCTTGAAGTCTTAAGAGATGACAATATTCACTATAATTTCCACCCTACCTTTACTGAGGTCTCCTTTTTTGACATTCAGGAATTTCTAGGGACTTTTCTCATCATAACCAGTGTTGACAAATGTTATTTCCTATTCTTTTGTCAGAATCTAAAGTAATGCACATACTGTCTACAATTAGCTATTTTTTAAATGTGCGAAGCTCTATGAAATTTAATGTAATGGGAGAGGAAGAGATTTTCTAAAAATTTCAGGCTTAGTCACTGAGACAGCTCACATACAGTGATTCTGAATATGAGAGTTACTGGCCATGGTATATGAAAATTCTCATGTTAAGCAGTGAAAGAAAATTATAAATGTGAATTTGGATTTTTTAAAAACCAGTAGTAAGGCTTAACTTGCTTTCTCTCAAATTGTCTTAACTTAATGGAGTTGTTTTATCACCTTTTCTGCTAGATAATTTTTTAAAATAAATGTATTGACAAGTATGTATAGAATTATAGTGTTCACAATGTTCTTTGAACTCTTGTTTTACACTTTGCTGATATCATTTGATCTTATTTAGAATCTGTGAAAATGTTTTGTCTCTATCTGCTTACCTTTTCAAATTTATTTTTAATAGGATCGGAAACTCCATGGCACAGCTCAGCAACTGCTCCAGGATAGCAAGACAAAAATAGAAGTGATACGAATGCAGATTCTTCAGGCAGTCCAGACCAATGAATTGGCTTTTGACAATGGTGATGGAATAGAGATAAATTTTAATTCTGATGATTATGGGCAATAGGATATGCTAAATAACTTTATGTAAAAAAGACACAGCATTTAAAATTGAGGGGGAGGCAGCATTATGGTGTTTTTTTATCTTACATTTTTAATTTCTGAGTTTTGATCTAAAAAAAAAAAGGCTCTATATCAAAATTGTATCTGTTATGTTTTCAGTGTTTTAAGGACTGTTCTTTTAATGTAAGAATTCATTCTTTTATTGGTGAGTTTTAATTACTAAATATTAGAGGGTGAAGTAACTTTATTTTTCCTCTCTCCTCTAGCAAAACCCGTCATAAGTCCTCTTGAACTTCGGATGGAAGAATTAAGGCATCATTTTAGGATAGAGTTTGCAGTCGCAGAAGGTGCAAAGAATGTAATGAAATTACTTGGCTCAGGAAAAGTAACAGACAGAAAAGCACTTTCAGAAGTAATTTTAATTAAAAAATTTAACTTAAATATATTACTCAAAAAATGTAGTTATTTAAATAATAACAATTGTCTTTTCCTTGCCCAAGGCTCAAGCAAGATTTAATGAATCAAGTCAGAAGTTGGACCTTTTAAAGTATTCATTAGAACAAAGATTAAATGAACTTCCCAAGAATCATCCCAAAAGCAGTGTCATTATTGAGGAGCTTTCACTTGTTGCATCACCAACACTAAGTCCACGTCAAAGTATGATATCTACACAAAATCAATATAGTACACTATCCAAACCAGCAGCACTAACAGGTATGTAGTATATATCTTCTGATTATTTTTGGTGCTTTTTTGGCTATATCTGGTTCTACTGGTTCTAGTTTAATAAGTGAATAAAGATTTGTGTACAGATTTTTTTAAAATATTGTGGGGAGATACATATAGCATAAATGAATTATTTTAACCATTTAAAAATATACAAATTCAAAGTATAGTTCTAATGTTGTGTAACTATCACCACTATCTAGTTACAAAACATTTTCATTACTCCAGAAGGAAACCTCATGCCCATTCCCTTTTTCCCTCCAGCTCCTGGCATTCACTATTGGCTTTTGTCTCTGTAGATCTGTCTGTTTTAGATATGTCCTTCAAGCAAAATTATATCATCTTGTGGCCTTCTGTGTCTAGCTTCTTTGATTTAGTGTGTTGTTTTCAAGGTTTGTGCTTGTAGCATGTATCAATGCTTCATTCCTTTTTATGGCTAAACTAGAGGCCCGGTGCATGAAATTTGTTTATGGGAGCCGGGTGTCCCTTAGCCCAACCTGCGTCCTCTTGCAATCCGGGACTCCTCAGGGGATGTTGGTCCTAACCTGACAGTGGACATCCCTCTTCCAATCCTGGATGCTGCATGCACCAATGACCATAAAGACACCTTGCTATTGTGTAGGCAGCTATATTTTTTTGCCCTGATTATAAAAAGTAGTACACAACATGGTCCTTCTGAGGCAGTAGTACCATTTTCCCCTTCTTATGGGTGGAAAACTGAAGCAGAGAGAAGTTAAGTAATTGTCACACGGTTGTAAGTGTCAGAATCAGGGCTGACCACAAAATGTGCAAGCCAGAGTCCATGCATGTCATCACTGCATCATCCTGTTTTTCAATGTTAGAGTAGCCTTGCCAGGTTTTAATTTTTAAATCTAAGAGACTGTTCACAATATATAGGGTAGGGTCCCTAGGCCTGGCCACTGATCAGGGCCATCTGTAGGACAATGGGCAGACAGGACGATTGGGGTCCCCCACTGACTCTGACTGCTAGCCAACCCCACACCCCTGATCGCCACAACCGATCACCTTCCTCTTGTGGGGCAGATGCTCACTGCAGAAGTGTCTGCACCCTAGCAGTCAGTACGCATCATAGCAGCCAGTCATTCCATTGTTTAGTTGATTTGCATATTAGGGTTTTATTGTCTATACTGATAAAAGGATAATATGCTAATTAGACTGGACATCCTTCCTGACAAAGTCCGGGGCATGGTTGGCCTGCAAAACACCGATGGCCCCTTGCCCAAGCCAGCCCCTCCAGAGAGGATCCCCCACCCTGATCCAGGGCCACCCTCAGGGCAGGCCAGTCGGTCTCTACCCATGCACCAGCCTCTATCCTATCCTATATAATAAAGAGGTAATATGTAAATTGACCCTCATGTTTTCACAAAGATAACTGCCTACAACCAGACCAGCAAGGGGTTAGTGAGGGATGACCAAATGACTCAACAGCAGGCTGCATGGTGTGACAAGGCTGGCAGGGGGGTTAGTGAGGGGCAACCAAACGATTCAACAGCAGGCTGCATGGGGCAGTCAGGCTGGCAGTGGAGGAGGGGGGGAGCAGTTAGGGACGACCAGACCGGCAGAGGGGGACAGTTGGGGGTGACCAGGCTGGTAGAGAGGGGGCAGTTGGGGGTGACCAGGCCACAGGCGGGAGGTCCTGGGGGGGAGCGGAGGCAGTTAGAGGCAACCAGGCAGGCAGGTGAGCAATTAGGAACTAGCAGTCCAGGATTGTGGGAGGGATGTCCTGGATTGGAGAGGTTGCAGGCTGACCTGAGGGGTATCCCCAACCCCATGTACAAATTTCGTGCACTGGGCTTCTAGTACACTATAAGGGTAATATGCAAATTGACCCTAATACCCAAACACACACTGGAGTAGTCACTATGAAGCACACCCCCACCTCTTGGATTCCTTTCCCTGGCCTGATGGCCACCTGCTGTGGGGACAGGGACGGTAAGTGGGCAGGAACAGCTGACCTCTCGGTTCCCTCTCCCGGCCATCAGGCACCAATTATCCCACGGCAAACTGGGGAATATGGCTCTGATGGCAGGCCAGGCCTAGGGCTTTTATCCATGCACAAATTTTGTGTGCCCAATAGGATAATATTCCATTTGTATGAATATATATATGTGTGTGTGTGTGTGTGTGCGCGCGTGTGTGTGATTTTGTTTACTTATTTATCCTACATAATAGAAGAGTAATATGTAAATTAACCATCACTCTGCTATGCTCACAAGCCAGTCAGAGCAAGTACGCAAATAAACCCAACCAAGATAGCTACAGCCACAGAGAGCAAGAGGGACACTTGAGTTTTCCAGGCAGTGGAGAGAAATGGCTGCCAGCCACAGAGTGAGCAGGAGGATTGGCTCCACTCCAGGCTACAAACTTTCAATTGTAGAAGATAAATAAACCCTAGATATAGGGCCTCCACTTGGGTCACCAGGGGGCGTGGCTGGCATGCAAACCACTACAGGCCCCTTGCTTAGGCCACCCCACGCCCCAAGGGAATCCCCACCAGAACACCCTTCAGGGCAAACTAGCTGGCCTCCACCCATGCACTAGGACTCTATCCTATGTAATAAAAGAGTAATATGCAGATTGACCATCACTCCAACACACTATATGGCTGCCCCCATGTAGTCAAAGATGGCTCCCCCTATGTGAACACAAAATGGACAGCAGGGGGGGGCAGTTGGAGGCGATCAACCCTGCAGGAGAGGGCAGTTAGGAGTGACCAGGCAGGCAGAGGAGGGAAGTTGAGAGCAAACAGGCTGGCAGGGGAGCAGTTAGAAATCAATCAGGCTGGCATGGGAGTGATTTGGGGGTGATCAGGTTGGCAGGCAGAAACGGTTAGGGCCAATCAGGAAGGCAGACAGGCGAGCAGTTGGGAGCCAGCAGTTCTGGATTGTGAAAGGGATGTCCGACTGCCTGTTTAGGCCCAATCTCGGGCAGTCGAACATGCAGCAAGGGGTCCCAGATTGGAGAGGGTACAGGCTGAGCTGAGGGACACCCGCCCGCCCCATGCACGAATTTCATGCACCGGGCCTCTTGTCAATTGATAAATGTTTAGGTTGTTTCCATCTTTTGACTATTGTGAATAATGTTGCTATGAACATTTGTGTACAGGTTTGTTTTTTTTTTTTGAGCACCTGTTTTCATTTACTTAGGACATTGTCCTAAGAACTCTAGGTCATGTGGTAATTTCAAGTTTGTAATGTTGAGGAACTGTCAAACTGTTTTCCTCAGTGAATGCATCATTTTACATTCTCAGCAGCAATGTATGAAGGATTTTATTTCTTTACATCCTCACCAATACTTTTTTGTATTGCCATTCTACTAGATTTATTCTTGCAAATGGGTAGTGAGGTTTCCTTTCAGTTGTGTAAAGGTTTGCTTCATATATTTTCTGGCTCTGTTGTTAAGTGTTTATAATTTTTATATCAATGGATTTATTTTACTCTTATCAAAATCACATTTCTTTTTTGTATACTGTAAAAATTTTGGATTTGAAGTCTATTTTTTCTGATGCTAGTATAAGCTACCCCAGTTCTTTTTTGGTTACTATTTACATTTATTTATTTATTTATTTATTTATTTATTTATTTATTTACTCTTTCACTTTTAATCTGTTTGTGTCTTTGGATCTAAAATGAGCCTCTTTTAGACAGCATATAGTTGGATCATGTTTTTTATCCATTCTGCCAATCTTTGCCTTTTACTTCAACAGTTTAAAGCAGTATGTTTGAGGTAATTACCTAAATGCTAATGTACAATTCTGATGCTAACAACACAGTTAGGTCAGATTTTTGAAAGTTAATGGCACAGTCCCCCACAAGTCTACTCTAGTTTCAGAGACAAGCTGCAAGGTTGGTGTTGCCTCAACCATCCTCACTTCTGACCAACTGGCTATAAATTCTAGGGTTCCCAATACCATCTCAGGCTCAGTAAATTTGTAGAACAATTCACAGAACTCAGGAAAGGTCTATGTGTATAATTTCAGTTTTCTTGTAAAGTACAGTAAAAACAAAACAAACAAAAAAATGAAAGAAAAAGATACACAGGGAGATGTCTAGGAGGGTCCCAAAGTCAAAGCTTTCCTGTCCTTAACATACAGCCCTCTCTCAGTATATCATTTTCTGTCAAAAACAAAACAGAAATTTCAGCCCTAGCTGGTTTGGATAGAGCATTGGCCTGCAGACAGAAGAGTCCTAAGTTTGATTCCAGTTAAAGCACATGTCCAGATTGTGGGCTCTATGACCAATTGGGGGTGTTTCTCTGTCTCCCTTCTTCCTTCCTCTCTGAAATCAATAAAAATATATGTATTTTTTTTTAATTTATATATATATATATTTTTTTTTTTTTTTTTTTTTTTACAGAGAGGAGGAGAGAGAGATAGAGAGCTAGAAACGTCGATGAGAGAGAAACATCGACCAGCTGCCTCTTGTACACCCCTCCTGGGGATGTGCCCGCAACCAATTTACATGCCCTTGACCGGAATCGAACCTGGGACCCTTTAGTCTGCAGACCGATGCTCTACCACTGAGCCAAACCGGTTTCGGCAAAATATATGTATTTTTAAAAACACAGAAATTTCACTTTAGCTTGGAATATCTGAGTTTTTATTGTGGCTTCATTATGTAGGAGAAACTGATTGAATCATTGGCCTCTTATTTGAAATCATCTTCAGCCCCTCATCTCTCTCTGAAGGTCAGGAGAACAGGTGGATATGTGTCTCTAAGCATCAGCTCTCTAATCATATGGTTGGTCTTTCCCTTGTAGCCAGCCCCCCAAGCTAAAACTGTGTCACTTGGTTAGCATAAAATTACATGTGGCTTGAGGGGCTCATCATAAATAACAAATATAGTGCTATCACCAGGGAAATTACGAGATTAGAGGCTCCTTCCCAAGGAATAACATCAATTAGATTTTCAGGGTAGATAAAAAGAAGTTACCTATTTAATTTATATATATAACATTTCACTTTAAAT